TCCGATAATCAGGTCATTTTCCATGGAACACAAGATTGTCCATTTGAGGTAAATACTTAAGGATATTCGGTGATTTCAGCTCTGGCCTAGAAATCCGGTGATAGTGGGTGTTTTTATCTGAGTTACGCGGTGGCCAAACCGCCAAAATATACCATGAACCTGCCGCGTGAGTCATTCCACATTGACTACTTACTCATTCTTGATTACTGTATTTACCGCTCAACTTTACCGTTAGTATAGGTATCAAAAACAGTGACAGTACACATCTGAAGCACATCGATAATGATGTTATTCATAGATTTTATAACTGTTAACAGCATGCTATATACTTCTAGGAGAAAGTCAGTATCAGTATTGATTATTAGTAATGAGCAGATTGACACAAATTTTGGTGTGATGCATACATTCCAAATGATTCATCTGAAGAAACACAAATATAATTTCCCGCCTACCTCATCTGGATGCGGTGTCACATGGTCTGCTTTACCAACTAGTCGAGATTTGCCTTTCAATGCTTGAGAGTGAATCAATTTGTTCATAATTCACTCCAAGAGAGAAAAGTAAACACCACTAAATTCGCATTCTAATTCCCCCCAAGAAACATTGCTTCATAGCTGTTGTAGGATGACAGTGTTATTCAAATAGGTTTTGTCACGAATCATCATCTATTAGGGAAAGAGTTCGTAATAAAACGAGAGGTAGATCCGTATCATGGAACCCGTTCCCCTCCTCCTTCCCGTGCAAAATCAAGTTTATTGATCAGTGAGTTTGTTTGATTTGGTCTCAGCCATCAGCACACAGATGTCTTATCAGGATTTCCATGATGTCGGCCGCTCGCGGATAGATTGCTGCATCTGTCTGTTCTTTAAAAAAAGCTGACTGTATGAATCATGGGACTTTCAGAGAAGTTAGTTTGAGAAAGACATTTTTGCGCAGATACGAGACAGATGGTACATGTAATCAAGACGACGGAGAAAGGGGGCTGTGCCGTAGGGCTCAGCAAAGAATTCAACTGAGAATTCAGCTCAATTATCTTTGAGTCGGAGCAAACTGATTGAGAGCTAAGGCATCTCTAAGCAAGTCAACAGCATCAAATCATCTGTGTTCTGTGTGTTCTTTTCATCTAGACAGAATGGTGAACAGAATGATGCTGAAAGATTTGTGGTGGACATACACAACTCTCTATAAAGGATGGGTAATTATAACGAAAGTAAAAAAATTAAAAAAACCACAGCAGGTTCATCTTTTCTCAATGATACCCTGATCGATCAGTGCAGTTTATGTGTCAAACACATTAGCTTCAGTAACGGTGAAAGAGACGGTTATTTTTTATTATTTTGTCAGTAAATGGAACAGTGCAAGTTATTCATTCCAAAGGGCATCATCACGTCATCATTCTCATCGTTCAGCGAAATACTGGAAAGTGAATTTCAGTGTTCAATACCAAACACAAAGAAAATACGAGTGATTAAGGCGGATAGAGATTGGACCCGTTTTAGATCAAGAGAAACAGAACTTGTATGTTTAACACAGAGTATACAGTCCAACTGTTCACACACACACACACACACACACCTATTCAAGCATTTTGACCTAATGAAAAAGATTATGTACTTCAATGTCTACCATTAACGAGTTCCAGAGTATTTTGGACCCTACTCTAGAATACGAGAGACGCTTACATGGCATTATCCTGTAAAACGGTAACTAATTAGAATGTTTAAACTGTGATTAGCAATAAACTCTACAAGTTTCTCTCAAGGGATCTTGAATAACACTTACCACCCCCTACTCATACCACTTGTACCTAAAAAGTGATTCACAAATCCACAGAGATATTTATGTTGATTTGCCATGAAGAATCGCAGTTTGGATTGTTCACAAAGAAAGAAACGCAGACGGTTGACAGTTTCGCATAGTATTGCGATTAGAGCATCGACTGGGAAATAAAAAGCCACTTTCCTCACAATACAAACTTAGGTGTGAAATAGTACTACTCTTCATTGCGTTCGGCTTGTATTAAATCCCAAGAACAGTTACTCCGAGTTTACCCTTTTACGCGTTCTTTTTAAATTTTGGGAGCTAAACTGTCGCTGAGTTGTAACTAACCCTTTCGTTCCCTAATTGCAGTTGTAGGTAACTATCATAGAGCGGAAGTCATGTCGCTCTTCAAAGCAATTTTTTTCCTTTTCATATATCGAAAAACGGGAATCAGTACAATCGGGCAAATCCATCAAGAAGTTAGAAACAATAATAACCAGGTGCAAGCTGCAAAGCGTAGTGAACTTGAAAGATAAGTTACCTAGAAAAGAGCGGAGCAAACCGTGCGTGGAGCTTTTATGCTCAGAAAAAGATCAAATATCACTTGTTGCCAAAGGTTCAGTGGGCTACAAATCTCATTTCTTTGCCTTATGGGTTTGATTATAAGCAAAATAGCGGGTTGAGCTTAGTTTCGGTAAGCTCATGCAGCAGTACTTGATGTTTCTTCATGAGCTCTATGAAGACAAACTTATGACTTCTTAGAACAATGTTCCTTTCAATTGCTTACTAATGGAAAAATGTATCTTCAGTGATCATTCCTTTCATTTCCCAGTACAAGCTTTTGCTGGCATTCTATGGAATCTAACGTTCAAATCAAAAAAATTTACGTCAACCAAAAAGACACGACAAGGATAAAAAAGAGNGTCCTCTTAGCGGCAAAGTTTACAAATGCGTTTTACTAACTCATTTTTCTTCCACAGAAAATCCAGAAGTGCCGGAAGTGAAATTGCAGGTACCCCTCTTCAGTTTTGGCGATTCATCTTCCCGTACCATTTGATAACCTGTTCACGAGTGTTATTGAAATTTTCCTGGACGAAAGCAAACAGCCACCTACTGGGCCATTTACTTTCCACTTTTGATCAATCTTTTCTATAACACGGAACCCAAATTTTCTCGGTGAAAGATGCAAGGGATATAATCACAATCACTTGTCTAGCACGAAGTGTACTCAAACTGCATTTCTTCTACAATGATCAGAACGAGGTTTCCCACTACTGATTGAATTTTGAATTTTATCACAATTTAAAAATGAAGGTTTTTAAATTCTATAAGAGCAATAAGGGTGTAAGTGAGATAAAAGTTCTTATTTTGTGCGTGTCTGGACAAATATATCGAGTATGTGTATTGTACAGGTGCTGATGGTAGGAAGAAGGGCGAAATCGAAATCAGTCAGCCTAGGACAGATGTTTGTTCTCAAAGTTTGTAGTTCATATATTCGTTCATTAGGAGGATTAAACAAACAAACGTTCACACGCACACACACACACCGTTGTAAATATTCACTCAAAGGTGCATGCATGCATACACAGTTCCACGTGCACTTGAGGAAGCAAATGATGGGAGCGGACTATGCCATTGAAACAGCTAACGAGGTTTATGCTGGGTCCGGAGTAAGCCACATAAGAAAAGCCAGATCTTGCAAACGGAAGTGAAAAGAATTATGTTCCGCATAGCATATTTCCATCCAGAATGAGTCATTCGTGATCACCACGTTCCACGATTGCTTCCATCTTCCCTCCAGATAAATTTTCAATTCTTTTGTGATTGCATCATAGTTTTCACCGTGTTTAGCCATCAATTCTCGGGTCACGTCAATGATGTCCTTCTCGTTCTCCTTGGCCATATCTTCGGCCAAAATAGTCACATCGGGGCCAAAGTCTGCCATCGCTTGTTGTTTGTTTATTTCAACCCGCATAAGACGGCTATTTAAAAAAAAAGTTATAAATCATTCAATTAATCAGCAAATTTGGTGTTTTGCGCAATGAGCTATGAGCAATGTAAAACCAAATGTTCTAGCTTTTATAATGAATTATAACGCCTTGATATAAACGACAGCAATGAAAATAATTCACCCGACCAATTCCTCAACACAGGTCTTCCAAATATCTCAACTTGATTCTAACTACTCACAAGTAGCACAATGACGACTGTGAATATTCCTGTTGGTTACTGGAGTGGATAAAGATTTGGGGAAAATATACGCGAACATACCTCACAAGATGGCCTAGTTGAACTTAGTAGCCTAGTGTTTTTTTCAAAAAGTCTTGCTGAACCATACGGAAATAAAGACACAAACGATGCTGGTGATATCATCAAAGGTTTCGTTTCATTCATTTTGCTTTCATTCTAGTGCAAATTGCGCAAATTATTAGGGCATCGATACACTCAGAAAGCATTATTACTATTTAGATGTATTATTTTTGTAGTTCACCTGAAAGACATTAATTATAACAAACAAAATTTCCATCATCTGGCAAGCTTTTAATAACGTCAAACATGCCACACCAGTTGGAGTGCCATCACCAAACTATTCCGAGGAAATCGTAAACAATGGGATACCTTGTAGTGAATCAGCTTTCATACAAGTTATTAATTATAATAAGTTGAGTTGGGTGACTTATAGCGCAATCTCAAAAACTAGAAATAACAGGTCTGTGGTTTTCAATAAACTGCTAGACGAGTGTGAAGCGTTTAAATACGCAGTTGATATCCGAAAGGTGTCCACTCATTATTTCACAAGCTTCATTGCACTAACGAAGTGAGGCATTGCAGATCCAAAGCTATTAAAATGACCCCGTGTTCAGTGCGATGGTAGCCAGAGTAGCCTGAGTATGAATCTCCTCAAACGCGAGGAAAGAAAGGAAAACCACTTTGAATAGTCCTATAGCATGCGGTTGTGTGTATGTGCACTATCCGCCCGACTGCGCGACACCATATAATGTCGCTCATTGATCATTTCATTGAAATTCATTTTCATCTGATTTGCAATATCCATTCATCTTAGCTTCACCAAAGAGGAATTTTCGCTCGATTCAAACTAAAATATTCGTATCAGTTCTGTGTCCCTACTTTTACAGTGATTTCACCTCGAATCTGAAAAATAAGACGTGCCAACTGAAAAATAACCCTCAGTTGAACAACAATTGATTGCTCCTTCTGCGGTTATCGCAAACGTTGGGCCATTAGTTGTTGAAGTGATGAATCCGTACTCCTATTTGGGACTCATATCTCTCAGGGGATGTGTGGTATCTACGAAACCAAAGTTATGTTCAATTCATGGATGCATAAAAGTTTAAGTTCTATAACTGGTGGTCGCAGACCGAATGCATTTTTTAGTTCTAAACGCTTCCGATGAACTCAAACAAACCAAGTGTGCTATTACTCCTCTTCTTCCCTCGTCCAGCAATGTCATATGATTTCTTTTTTACACTTAGCCTATGAAATAAATACGGGTACGCTACAGGCAGTTTGTTTCTTGGTACCGCATACTCAACAGGTGTTTAGGCACTTAAAGTATTTACTTCTTGTTTATTCGTCTGGATTGGATTATTTCGTAGATTTATATTCTGGTTTTCACATGGATTTCCTTGTGTTGTTCATAGTATATTTCGTAGAAATCTTGATGAAAGAATTAAATTTGGCCGCAATTTATCTAACCCATCAGTAAATAAATCTGGATTTACTATCACTTCCTCCTTGTCTAAACGCTTTTTTCTAACCTCAAGTATTCTGACGATGTTGCTTTACGGTAGTGTATCACGCCGCTCTGAGGACAATTCAATGTTGTCCAAGCTCACCATCACATGGTGATATTAATGGATGTGCTCGGCCGACTCCCGTTCGTGTAGTCAGCAAACTTTGCTCCATAGCCCTTTTGCGGGTGAAGGATAGAACTCCCAATTATTCTGTATCTTTCTGTAACTAAGCACTCACTTACTCCTGTGGAGCTCAATATGTTAACTGAACGACTAGGCGTTTGTCCGAGCGCATCAGCTAGACTTACCATGGGTAGCTGAGAAGTGGAGTAATTAAGTCAATTACAAGTTCCGTTGTTTCGCACCTTGTTGACACTAATCACACCACAATCGGAATCGAAGCAATCCGAGCCCCGAATAGAGTTAACATGGAACAGTCTATAGACAGTTGCGGTTACGTACGCCAGCCACAGCGCAGGCAGTTCTTTCTGATGCATTTGTTCATATATGCACTTCTGTCCACGAACGATCTCTTGCTCAATTCCTCAAAATATTCTGCAACCAATTTTTCCATCACAATCTGATTGCCCATCCTAGTAAACCAGGCTGAAGTTCAATGATCTGCCTTCCTGCAGTCCACCTGCTCAACATCTTGATGTTACTCAATAGAACTCCTTCCATTCGACTCCCCACATAGAATGGCGGACCGGCGAGATATGTCGTCTCTACTTTCAGATTCCTAAGCTTAAGCAAAACAGTGTTTGGTTATTCTTTGTTTGCCAGTGCTTCTAGCTTGTCCAGTTATACTGTTTCCCCATCTTTTTTATTGGATGGGACGGTCTTGCGGTTTGAGAACGATCAATTGTAGATCTGCCAACTCCTTCCACGGGTTAAATGTTGAACTATGTGACCTACATATTGATACCTACTAGTATTTTACGACGATATTGTTCCACCTCCATCTCCACTTCTACACACACATACCATGCACACTGAATTTCGGTCAACCCCGATGTCGTTTTGGTACGATTCCCTCCCTTGTATGGACGAGTTTTTGTAGAAACTCAACCTACTTACTTCGCAAGTAATCCGAGAAACAGAATATGCGAAATCCTTTGTTAGAGAAGTTTGAAGGCAGCAAACACAGGTGCGCATTTTCGGTACTTCTCGTCAGGCGTTGACAGTCCACAGTCCACCAAGTAAACACGACAATCGTTAGAGTGTCTGCACTGTTATCGCGAAGGTTGATGCTGGGGACTGTGTCCGGATAAACCAGTCACTGATGAATCAAACGGATATATCTGCCCCATGGTTAACCCAAACTTAAGCCAAGGCAATGGCAGGGTCTTGACAAACTGCTTTAGCGATCACAGCATTAGTCAGTTTAGCCTGATCGCAGTTGCCTAGGCGGTGAACAGAATTCTGCATTTTATCCGTTTTGGTCAAATATATGCTACCCGGAGGATAATCTAGCACGACCCTTCCGCTTCGTGACCTATGTCGAGTGCACGGGCTAGAATGGCACCAATCGTGCTTTATAGATTCCTTTTAATTACCACTCTGGACAATATTCTTGAATCCTATTGGAAACTCACTTATTCCTCTTCCTTAAGTATCTCGCATTACAGAAGCACGAGTAAAAACACAAAATTGAGGTAGATTAATCATATAATTTGTCTTTGAGTTGCAACCTCATCATGGGTTGCGTGAGACGGACCGTCGCAGCAGAATGGGTTTTATGATAATCAATGAGCTAACGTCTTATCTGCCGTGTCTAGTTGGCAACCATCCATTGAGCAAATTCTCTTCTTTGGGACGGTAAATTACATGGAGTGAGAATCCGTTTCAATCAGAGAATTGCATGTGAAATTTCGGGTTCAAAACTATGCGGATGGTATTGAGGTGGTTCAATTTCCCTAGTCTTACGCATCAGATACACGATCAGTGACAGTCTTCGACCGAGATAAAACTCTAGGTGCTTCTATAAGTCGTGCTACTGCAATCATAGAACAATATTTATTTTGACTTTTGTGGTTCTATCAGGGAAAGCTTGTTTTCTGATCTACACATTTACCCCAGCTGTTCACAAAATATGTGAATACGGGAATAAAATTAGAAGTGATCGCCGCACAAAAACCATGACGAGGACGTGAAATACGAGTGCCTCCGGAGTGTTCCTGGACAAGATACCGCTTTTATATACTCAGGGATTTCAACAGATTTCAAAATCATTGGTTATCTGTTAACGAATATATAATTATGTATCAGGATAGTCGTTTTATACGCGGTCCCCGCTAACAGATTGCATTCACTTAAATATGATCACTTACGCTTCGGCCGGTTTCAAACCCAGTACTTCGCAGAATTTGTCCAGGGATATGGTTCCAGTGTTATCCGGGTCGAACAAAGCCTTCCATCTCTGTATTGTCGGACAAGAAAGTACATATCAAGATCATATTTATTTAGCAACCAATAGAAGATTTTAATATTTGCGAGAAATGAAAGATTCAGATTGGTAGAAAAGTGCACTTACTGTCACTTTCATATGGAAAATGAATAGAAATGGTTAACTTCGGGAACCCGAGAATAGTAGAATTTCAAATTGAATATTCACTAGTTAGTCAGTTAGTCAGTCGGCCAGATACACGGTCAATCAGCTAGTCAGTCAGTCAGCCAGTCAATCAATCAAAAGAGTGAATAAGAAATTCATACGTTTATTTGTTTTGGTTCTCTCTAGTATCTATCTTGATCTGTTGAGATTTCCCTTTGTTCTGGTAAATCTATTGTTGCTAGTTCTATTTTTCATATTTAATCCCTAAGAGTGACGTAACCAGTAATTGCGCAAATGTAACTATTTGGAGATCGGTAATTTATATTTATTCTGGTATTTCAACGGCTCACTTAGAAATAAAAGCTCAATTGTGGCAAACAGAAACTTAAGAAATATCACTTTGCGCCAGATTGTGGATCAACGTACCAACTCTAGGAGATTTAGATAAATCACACATTCGAATCATGTCGTTTGGAATTCGTGATCACGAAACTGTGCGTTTCTGGACGGACAGATGGTTTTACCTAGAGAATATTTATAAATTTCGTTTACACCACCAGCCAAACATAAACACTGTTCGCCGTTTAATGGAATTAGTTGTTGCGAGAAATTCTCAGGAATGGTTCAGAATGTATGATGTACAGCCCAGGAACTACAGAGACTGTGGTAGCAGAGACTTTGTTTCCTGCCCACCTAACCTGTATAGTGACATATTTATTGATATGTATATATGTGTATATTATGACGAAAATTCAATTCCTGGATCTAAGTATATGAATGAAAAGACATGCGTGACGAGCAGCAACAACCGCGAAACCGGTCGTATGCCTCCAGGGGAATTTTGTCCTGTCATTCATATACTAGTGATTGTCAAATATATGTATATATATATGTGTATGTAATAAGGGAAATACTACGGACTATTTAGATTTCCGACTCTAATTGCAAAGAACGGCTTATAAATTTGAGGTCGCATCCACCACCAATCGGTGATGCTCTCAAACAGTTGAAAACTTCACAATACAAATGGGTGAGCATATTTTTTCGATAAGTCATTTGCAAGCGTTAACGATCACAATTATACAGGCCGGTTGGGTCAGACACAAGAGTAGATGGATCACGTGTGTGATAACGAGTCCGAGAAACTTTCAAATTAGTACGCTGTTTGGATTACGTGATAAAAAGCCGTTAGTTTACATCATCGTCGTGTTTATAAGCGATTTTCTCTTCCCTTGGTCAGGAAAGTTTAACATAATGAATCAATTTTCTCTACGCGCACAGTTCAGGATTCACGAATCGCATGCTAGTGGCCTCTATTATCACTTACGTCCAAAACCGTCTTGCTCTGGAGGGTTCTGATGAGACTCGATAAATGAATGTGAATGAGTTGAGTTGCAAATGCGCACATCGATATTCAAGATAAATTCCACTGCTCCCAATATCTTAACAACAATATAGGAAGGAGAAAAATACTCAAAATTTTGTCATGTAGCTAGATAGAGAATTTTGATGTGTGGGGAATAAAGTTTGATAACAAACGAAGCTGGGAAACACACGTAAACCCAGTGTACCAAATATTCTAACCGGAGCCGATAGAAAGATGCGAAGTCCTCAATTTAAGTAAAATCTGATCGATAATGCCCTATGTCAAAATTGAAGTCGGATGGTTCCACGTTTATCAGAAGTAAGTTACAGGTTGTGATGGATTAAATTTTAAAGGGAAGAAGACCCTTTAAACTATTTACTTGGGGCCACATAAAGAGGACTTTGTGCAAATAAGCATTTGAATCGATGTAAGCCCTTAGGAGTTGGGCTGTCGATTGAAGAGGCATCTTCTTACATTCAGGTTTTAATATTTGCAAATATATTGTAAAAAATGCATGAAAAATGGAATAGCTCCCCTGGTACCATTGTGACTTCTACTTCAAATCATTCAGGGAAACGATTTTTGCCATCTTCTGAATTTTAAACTGTTTGAAGGAAAGATTCGAGTTTCATAGGTGGAGCGAAATTCTGAAGTTTCCTAGAATTAATGAAAACCACACCGCTTGTGCGCCTTTTATATATATTTCTATACGAGTCTACTGAAACGCCATCATAGCAGTCTAAGCGCTGAGACTTACAGATTCAACAACTAGTGTGATCTCATAAGCTGCCATATTTTCAGCGTTATCACGTAGTGGACTTTAGATGATGAGACGTAAGTTCACAATGGGAATGCGACGGACCAAATAGAGAGGGAGAGTTACAATCAGATTACGTGAAAATTCATAGAAAGAATAACTCAGTTATTTCTTCTTTCTTCCCGGGATGCATTTGGGACAAGTATACAATTCAATTATGGAAAGCTTTCATGTGAGAATCATCGTGGCTCATTCTACTCATCGTATATAATTAAGGGTTCAAAATGGGCTAGTGACTATTGTGTGATGGCCGTCAAAGCGCCGTGGATAACTGTTTCACCAAGGGTTGGGACGCATTAGCAGTGTGTTATTCTTGCTTCCCCGTTGATACTAGAACCGCTTATCATCAGATAAAAGGTCTAAACTTTCAATCGTAAACCTCGCGGTAGACAGACAACACAATGAGCGAGTGGGTTAGTTATTTACACTGATCATCGAGCGAGATAATTTCGTTTATCTACGGGTATTCGGCAGTGTGGGCTATCTTCCCGCTGATAATTTGGCGCTTGGACTGGTCCCTTATTCTTTAATTGAGAAAAATGATCTGTGTGCTATTGAATGCGGACAAAGTACACTGAACAGCCATTTCGTCTTTGCTGGAACTGCTCAGCAATGTGTACTTCTTTCATCTCGTTGGTACTAGTGTTATAATTCCAAAAGGCGGTGCTGGTCTAGGATAATCCTGTGTTTGAGGGTTGCTGATGGGTGGTCAGTAATTTTGTACTCATAACACAAAAGCCTAATCAGAAACGTGCCATCGCAATTGTTTCCGACACAGGGGAATGTAGAGAGCAGTCAGTAGTTATTCTTCCAAACATATCACTTGGCCCTTGATAGTGTTGTTATACTTTTGATCATCGAAAGTTACCTACTACTCACAAGTGAGTAGTGTCTCACAACACGAGAACCATGAACCAAAGACAGGAATATGAAGCGCATCGATACGTAATTGTTAAATCGATTAGGTTCCCCCAAAGGCCTCAGCAAACTTCAAACTGTTTTCATCTGGTTACCAAAGTGAATTAATGAAAAATATGTTTCAGTGTAAAACCAAACGCGTAAGCCTCATTTATCGGGTAGGTACCAATATTTTGGGAATTGTGTTCCAATTTAAGAGTATTTATGCCTCGAGAATATGTATGAGGGTGAATGTTGTACGGAGGAGGGGTTCAGCCTCGTTGTTTAGTCACAATTAGATCGGTTCGGCAAAGAGGATCCTCGAAAGGTAGCAAAAGTACCATAAATGCAAATCAGTTTGTTTTTCAATTACAGTGTTGAATAAACCAAGGAAAACAGAAGACAAAATCATTGAACATTTAAAACAAGTATTAATGTTTGTTCTTCAATTGAGAGTGTTAAGTAATAAGCACTACACTTGCTAAGAAAGACAGTTGCTTCAGTTACAACTTCAAATTTAATTTATTACCGACAGACTCCTGTCAGGTCCTGCGTGTGTGCAGAATAACTACTGGTAAAAGATGTAAGTGAAAGAATGGACCATATGGGGAGTCGACAACCGCAGCCAATGAGAAAAATTTATCTCATATCGATTTGCGATAAAATGGCAAAAAGATAAGTTTCAACATGTGTACCCGCACACATGTCAGTCAGGGTAGCGATTTTAAAGGGTGATTTGAAGCAAGACAGTTGAATTGACCACAAGTGTAGGAGAAACCCGTGAATGGATGATCGGATTTGCCTTTAAAACATGAAACGTTTTGCCACTTTATGCTCGAAGGTCTGACGCGGTGAGCCATTGTGCAATTCCGTAGCTCATTGGTCGTAATTGTGGCTTTGTCTCGTTTGACATAGACTGCGAAAAATTTGATGAACTGCGTAGCTGTTTGCTGATTATCTCACCACTTACATCCTTGTGCTCAACGTAGGATGATAATCATACGGGAAACGTTCATTATAATACTCCCTATTGTTGTTGGCAATAGTAATCATATTGATAGCTCAATCTGTAATCTGTTTACGGTCTTAAATGGATCTTCGTGATTGCAAACCACTGTAACGATAGGGAGAGAAAACGATGGTTGAAGATACTGTTTGTGATGATTTCCGATTTCGCTGCTGTATTTTCCTTTAAGAACATGATTTTATACATTCATCTATCATTATACACCAAATTGTTGTCAAGGTTCCGACTTTTTATTACCCATCCCAGCATTTGCGAGATCCAGTAGCATTTCCTGATCGGAGAAAGTCCTCATTTTTTAATTGATCTTTTATCTAAGTTGTTCTTCAGAGGCGGTGTGTACATAACCGAATCGATACCATCAACACTGAATAGGGATTTATAGCGGGGATGAGTAAAGAATGATAGATGCATCGTTAAAATCTGTCTTAAAATCCTCGCAAAACGCTTGTGGCGCACAGCGATTGCCGATGTTTGGTTAATCAAATTTTGAATTTGCTAGAAAACTGTTATTTAACCTGATCTTCCTAACTAGAGGTTTAGGTTGATGAAAATGTTTCGAGCAGCACAAGAAACGTTTGCAAACGGATTGTAGTAATCAGTAAGACTACCATCCACAACACACTATTCCTAACCAACTCCACTGGGTTCACACAGATTTTGGCGGAACGTTATAAATGAGGTATGTAGGTAGTTACAAAGAGGAATACAAGCGTGACTGTCGGTAATACTTTTTATCAAGGTCAAGTCCAAATATGATGGCTTTTATCATTATTGTCGCAATCAATAACAATGCCATCATTATAATGCCAGTTATAGTAACAAGAACTAACTGGTACTTACGGTGACCATGTTCTGGTCCAAGTGATTTTCCGTTACATAACTCCGTAGTTCTTCGACCGTAATGTTCTCACTACGGTCTTTGTCGATTGCGAAAAACACTTCCACGAAAGGTTCCATTGTGATGCTGACTGATTTGTGAACCCCCAACCGGACCGATACAAAGGTGACACAGAATGATGTCTCATAATTTATATATGCAACTGTGAATGCGGCTACGGTTCTTCAACCGTTGCCGACCTGACACACACACTATATGACTTCTCCAAGTAATGACGAGTGGCACCAGATCCAATGAAATGGAGGACATTTCGGTCTGTGCGTGTGTGCGTGGGTGCGTGCAATCGTGTGCTTGTTTGCCAGTTCTAGGTCACCCGAATTCTTATCTAGCATAAACTATCCCAAAGGAATGGATGATTTCACCCAGCTCGTTCTTTGAGTGCCCAGAAAATGTCATTGTGCATTCTGGCATGCATCTGCTTGTATGCGGTACCGAACTGGCGCGTTGGTCTATTAACACGCGTTTTCAGAACTGAAAGCAGTCCTGTGTAGTTTGTCGTTAATTGCGATTTCATGGTTTTATTCAGTGGGTGTGAAGCAGTCCTGGTGAGTTAAAAGCGCACCGAAAACCGGCTTGATTGAGTAAATGACTCAGCACTGAGAAATCGACTTAGCAGAGCTGATCAACTCCGAATAGAGAACTGTTCTATGGTGAATACACTGAATGAGTAGCCAAAACTTGCTAGTATTGCAAAGCGAATACGTGTGTAGTATGTCAAAAGTAATAATTAAGGTGAATGCAGTGGTAGCGCTGTCGACAAAATGAAAAAAACGAGTGTGCTATAACTCATTCAAAGTTAAACTTAGATTCAGAAACTTAATCCGATGGCATTGATTTTAATCTTCAGAATCCTCTAAGAACCAAGATTGTACTGTGTATTGGAATGAACCAACAACGTTCTGCGTAAGACACCTATCCTCACTGATGAGTTCATTCACCCCAAGCAGCAAAGATCAAAGTAACCACGTGTAGTACACTTTAGTGGAATTCAAGTCCATCCTATCAGTCCTGAGCTATGTAGCACAAATGAAGAGTCATATTTTCCAATATGGTCTCATAGCTTGGCAAATCCAAAAAGTGTGTGGAAAAGTGAAATGTTTTTGTCCAGATTTTGTTATAACGGTCACCAAATCCCCGATCATGCTTGTGGCGGTAAAATGAGTCGCGTTGATGGGACCAAAATTCATTCATTCGACGGGCTTTGTTACATTGGTGTTACTGTGGCAACTGGTGAACGGTAATCGCAGTTAACCTCATTGGTCAGTGATGGTGTGCAGATGTTAGATCTTCAATCGGTCGATAACCCCTGTTGATCTGACGCGCCTGCGCAAATCGGTCGGAGAAGTGGAGAAATTCGTCAGGTCATTGAAGGCGAAGGTTATTATAACAACTATGATCTGGGTCGAATGACCCCCTTACTGTGTTTGATCAATGCACTTCTGATTCGTGAATCAAGTTTAAGCATCACCTGATGATCTTTATGAGTCATCAAGGTCATGACAACTATTAGTGGCACAGATGTCGATCGACGCTGACCAAAAGTGACGTATCGATCGGCTTCAAGAGACAGCATTAACAAGCGAAAAAACGGTCAAGTTCGAAAATGGTCAAACTGTTCACTTGCCTTTAACTGGAGTGTAAACGACGTCGGTGTCTGCTGATCGAATACTGTTCAGCCGATACCGACTAAAGTTAGCGGGAGTAAAAATTATATAAAATTAGGAAAAGTCACAAAAATGGTGACGTGGGATTTTATCTGAAAGGAAGCCAAAAAACAGGAAAAATGAAATGGTCCAAATGACCAATCGGCTTTTCCTTCGTAAGGCTGAGGCTATAATAAACCAGTTCAATTTCACGCATGCATAAAGACTAGGTGAGCTTGTATGCATTGGAATTCCATCATAAGTAAGCAGTGGGCATTTTGACGTAATAGGAACTGGCAACAAACGCAGCGTGGTTTTCATCGATTTTGTTTAATTGGTCACAAATATCCCATACAATTTTTCATGCCAATAAACAAAATAAGCTAAAGTGACCAATATGAAAGAGTGCACATTTTGTAATTTACTCATTTTTTTCGAATCTCGAGGGATGCGCCATAAGGGGAGAGATTGATTGTAATCGTTCTTAAATGTGAAATCGAAACACGTTTATGGGAAACATGCAGTTCTGAGTCTCTTTTTTATTCTATATGTAATACAAGGATTACGGCTTACATCTCAGTTGAAAAAATCACAGATCGTTAATCATAGGGGTCACAAAAGTCACTTATCCAAGATTATTTATACTTTTCCAAGGGTAAGACCTTTCAGTTTTCACCCACACTTTATTGATATGTACACGCACTATCTATCGATAGATAAGACAAATCCCTTAGCACTGATTCTAGACGGACTGTGTTAGAACTCAAAACTTTGTAAGGAATTGGAACGACAACTCGGTGATTCACAATGGAACGGTTATTTATGGTGGAAAAGAACCCGTTCCGCAAACGAGATAGATAAATCAATGGGGTGATCAAAAACTTCACAAAGAAGTCTGTTCTGTAATTGGGTGGAAACTGATTGATTGCATATGACTTAGAAATCCCCTTCAGGTTTACCATTAAGCGCAATCAGCCAGTAGTATTACAAGTTAGGAAATGGGTATTTATAACTGTAGTACCCGTGCTCTATGTGCTGCTTTTTATGCGTGAGCACCTGAAATAGTCCATTGGGTATGGAGCCCACTAATTTGATAGATCGCGTTTATCAGTGAGTTCCTGTACATGCCATACCCCGATCTCTAACAAACACTCTCCAGGTAACTGAAGTAGCATTGTCTTTAATTGCACCCAAAGTCGCAGCAATTCAGATAGCGATAGAAGAGAAATCAGAAGAAGAGGTTAAGTTTGGAGAGTTCAATGTTTACCCATAGATATCGATATGCAAGTGTGATATTGACAATGGGAATGTGTTTGTTTAATGAGAGTAATGTCCCTCTGTATGCAGGTGGACCTTGAGTAGTGAGACAATAAATGCCCTATGGAGTCAATGAGTGATACGCGATCACGTTGGGTCCAGAAAGTCGCTATATATAGATTAGGGAAAATGTTCCGGGCGGAATGGAATAAACTTGAGGCACATTCTACCATTGGACAATGTTAAGATGTTAAGACAACTGAACCGATTGGGTGTTTTCGTAAAATCAAAACTTAACAACTGTGAAGAAGCAACAGTCAGTTTACTTTTCATCGGTCTACTGGTTCCTCTGTTGAACCAAACGGTCAGATTTATCAAATTAACAGCACGGGGAGGTGTGTTAAACTCCCACCACCATCGTCTAACATTTCCCAACTCTATGTGCCCCTTTGGTTGGCCGCTTACTCCTTCTTGAACATTGCCTGTATTATTACTAATAAATTGTATTCTGTATCACACTGGATTGCTACACGCTAATGACTCCAGTGTTTCTGTTTTGTTTTGTTTATCGTTTATATTGTTTCTGAATGAAAGTTCATTGTTTCTAAGAATTGATTACTGTTTTACAGAGATGCTTATTTTGGTCAATGTATCAAGTGTTCATCCAAATTGCAGCGGAAAGACAGCGTTTTCCAAAACCGATGATTTATTGATAATGCAACCTGAAAATTGTATTATTCTTTATTCAATGAGAGTGAGCAAAGAGGAAAAATAAAAAAAGATAGTTACACTGGAGAGATGAAAGTTACTCAGAGCAACGTGCCAGACTTTGCGTTTTCGTTATTTCCGTCCAAACTGTATGATGCCGAACTGGAAGCACACAAACCCATTGACGATCAGCAGACTTCCTTGGACCGTCGTAGTAAATTGTGTGATATTATCAGTGAAATTGACAGAGGAAACGGATTCAGAATCTGAGAAACCCATAAGTGGCAAAGAATATGCACGTTTAGTGAATGTACACGGGGAAGACTACAGCCCCGAAGCAGCAAATTAACAGTCTCCACGGATACAGAACACATGAGGTCAGTTAAGCTTTATGATGGGACGTTGTCAAGACAACGACCGACACATTATGATTAGAGCTCAATCAATAGAGCTCAAACGAGGGGTTTTTGACAGCTAAACCCATGATGAAAAAGGAAATAAGTGAAAAAAAATCCTTAAACTTTTCGCACATATAAGTGTGATTATTCTCGTAATACAGTGGAGAATAACGCAAAATACCGAATCACCCTCCCCCCAAACAAAAAGATAATCAGAACCAAACAAATTGCCCGAAACGAATAAAATAAGAAACTGAAATATACAGATTATCAAGGGATTGGAGGTAGTTACAGAAAACATTCTTTCGCGTTAGTTACCCTCCCTTCGTACCGCGTGTTATCGTGACACAGGTGCAAAAATCAGCAGCTTATGCAATTCAGTTTAGTACAATATAACTTACAGTAATCATGCCCATATCCAAATTATTAGCTGCAACATAATCCTCCAAATTGCGAACCGAAATCTCCTCGTTCTTTTCCGCATCGATGGCAAAAAACACTTCCACAAACGGTTCCATGGCTAAACAAGAATGCTTTAGTTATGACACGAAATCACCAACCGATCAGACTCTGAAGACCACAGAACAACGGAACTGTTTTTATATTCGTCAAAGAAGCGATTATTCCGACGGAAGGTGTAAGTTACCATGGCATCTCAATCAGTCGTGTCACCGGCATTCACACGCTCTCTCAACGGCGCATTCCAGTTCACTTACTTTATGTTCTCAATCAAGTGTGCGGATAGCTTCAGGAATGTGCACGTTTAGCTCTTTGGCCATCATTACCCTCATTTCTTCTTCTTGAAAGTGTTTTTTTCACGTATGCATTTATCCTGGAGTAACTGACAGTATTTGGTAATCCACACGTTGTATGAGAACTAGAACTACTGAATTGGAGAACTGGATAGCTGAGAATGACTGTTTGAATGAGTTGTTGGAAGAGATCGGTAAGCGTAGTATGCTGTTGGTGACTCCTGCTGTGTCGTCGTTGTGTGAACTCTCAGGAGTGTTGTGGAGCACAGACGGGTTGATAATTTCCCCTGTTGAACTGGCATTTGGTGTTTACGGGTTTAAACGGGTGCACACACTAGAAGAATCGTTGGATGCGGCCTGAGCCAGTTTAGTCACAACGATCCGTTAAGATCAGCGCATTACCGATGCTAGAAAATTTTCAAAATGGTTTCAAAGCAGCAACCAACGTGTATCGTGTCATTCTATTCCGGTTTCGATTAAATGTACTTCTCCTTTTAAAGAGCACTTGTTACAACACCATTATGCATTGTTAATTTAAGATTCACACTACAATTGGTTTCACCAAACCATTCTTGCCTGTGCAAAACGCCGTGTGTATGATTACCCTAACGTTGTCTTCTCTCACGGGAATATTTTTCGTCTAACAAGTGGCTGTGCCTGAGAATGTCAGTGGTGATACGTTTTTCGGTCCTCAAACGCCTTGCGCTTTGCATTTCTGACGTTTTTCTTTTCTACGGTTTAACTCCACCGACCAACCGGTTAGGTTTTATGCCCAAAAAGCTGAAACAGTTGCAAGCGAACGTATTGTGCGATGAGAAAAAAATATCTTGAAATCAGAAATCACAGTCTATCTAAACACGGAATGTATTGCTAAACGAAAGGGTCGTTGTGGTTATCAACGTAAAAGACAGATAGACACATATTGTACGTCGCATTGTACCATATAGGAGTTCACGTTGAATTTATCAAACATTGGCTATTTTCAATTGCAATGAATACAAATCGTTATTTCCGGTAGAGAGATTGTGATAAAAAATGGTACAAAAACTTTCTGAAGTCATTGAAGATTCCCATTGTAACATTTGAGAACAAAACACGAAATAGCGAACAAGCTCGTTTTCGATAACTTCNACTTCCTCATCTGGCTAATACAGTTATATAAATAGGTATAAGGCATATCACATTTGCATTACGTTTGACCTGTGTGTGTGCGTGTGGATTGGATTGGTAGATACAATTCGTTGTTTATGTGCGGTTTACAAACAAAAATGGAGTGGTGGGTGGATGGGAAAGGGACGCGTCACAAGAGGGATTAGGACCGAGTCAAGGTTAACCGTCACCGGTTTCGGGTACGGGGTCAATCGCAAGGGTCAACGGGTCATGGAAAGAGTCAACTTCAGCCATGCAACGGAATTCAATCCGAGGCCATGGCAGTTGAAGTGCTTTAACGAATCGCTTTTGGGAACAAAGCGATGGGTTAAACAGACGGATGGCTACTGGTTAACCCTGACTCGGTCCTAATCTCTCTTGTAACACGTCCCTTTCCCATCCACCCACCACTCCATTTTTTGTTTGTAAACCACACATAAACAACTAATTATATCTACCAATCCAATCCACACGCACACACACAGGTCAAACGTAATGCAAATGTGATATGCCTTATACCTATTTATATAACTGTATTAACTTTCTGAATTGATGATTGCCGGTTGCTCAATGGAGAAGGTAGATAAGTGTCAGCTTCTGGACGCTATCTATCATCTCATTCATTGTCACTGGGTTACTTTATTTACTCTCGACTGAAAGAGCGTAAAATTAGGATGGTGTTTTTCATGTGAATACTGTCATTATTACCGCAACCCGAATAACATGCCTTCACTTTTCGTCCATCCCCCCCCACCCCCCGGTCTTCCGGTTCTCGTAATTTCTGTAAACCACAAATAACCTTTGATTAGCTAAATGATGATGAAATTCGGAGAGTTCAAGCTTCACCCGTTTAACTGGGGTTTATGTTTGTATTTATCGACTGTACTCGAATATCAACGGATAATGATATTTTCGTGATTCTGTCGAAACTAGTGGGTACCGTGCCTATTCAATATGTACATTCCTCTTGCACGGTCATTGTGCCTATCTGCACCGTTTGCATACAGTAAAATGAAGAAAGAGGAGTTTAATGTTTCGGTGAGCCCCTTTAGTTTTTGTGTCATCTCTGATTTGGTAGCCAATGCGGAATGCCATTTACTCCATGTTTCAACGTCGGACATGTTTTAGATAGTAAACCGGAAGAAGGATACCAACCGTGATGGGGTGATGACAACATCTTCGATTGCGTGAAAAGTATCTACTACGGTGAATGTTTCGATTAGCCCATTAGGTTTTTCACAGGCCCTAGGCACTCTTAATCATCTTGGATGTGAGTTTCACTCCTAGAAGACCGTTAAATCCCCTTCAGGTTAATGTATTTAAGTACAATGGAAATCTTCGCGTTGACCGACATAAAGCACTAAACAGCTGTTTCGTTCTGTTTGTGACTAATCAACAGAGTGTACCTTTTGTGTTCCGACGGAGTTTCTCATTGAAATCCCCAAAGGGAGAAACTCACTTCAAAACAACACAATCTTCGGCACAGAAAGAAAACGTCACCTGATCCTGTACTAAATACAAATCGTAGAGCTCTCATCACGCCTCCCGGTAAGAGTGAATCAAAATTTCACACTTGAAATAGCATTGAAGAGCACTGTAGTTTAAGCTAGTGTTTTAGCAGGCCTCCGAAATCAACAGATATTAGATAGATATAGATATAGATATTTGAGACTACCGAGGGTGTTTTGGAATGTACACCGCAAGTGCCTCTAGTCATGGACATTTTTGGTTGTAGTTATTTAGATGTACCAGTACCCCTTAAAATTATTTCTGGGGAGCTCACCAGTGTCAATTAGTACAGCCACTCTGAGTGGTAAATCACCGCCGTTGGACTGAAAAATGTCTATAAATCGTGATGGGACGACTACCTAAACGATGGTGGTAAATCATGGGGCACTATTATGCAATTAAGTGCAAATCTTGCGAAGAGAAATAGGAGACAATAATTTCACTTGGTTTAGAGCAATGAATCGTTTAATGGGATATCTGTAAAAAAACTCTCTGCGGTATTTATGAGGATCAGTCTCACGTCTGATGCGTATAAGCTGACAAGTGCTCCCGCCACTAATGATAAAGTGCTGATAATGGTTTTGAGCAGATTGTATTGTGTATCTTGACTAGCTCAGGGTGCGTTAGTTTCCAGCCGTTCATGGTTCTCCGCCAAACACAAACAGTTCATATATGAAGATTGCAGGGCATTGGGAGGTGACAAGCTTCCTCTGTGTTCCTTGTGCAACTCAAGTAACCCAATAAAATGAGTTCTTTATCATCTGATTTTGTTCTCCATGGGTGGTTGTGATTTGACGGAAGACATTTGGAAGATACGTGATTGCTAACAGGTTTGTATATTTATTTGGACATTCCACCCTCCGCGGAGCGAGAACTATGGATTGGCTCCAATATCTTTGAAAGGGGGAAGCTCGTCGTATCACTAGCACTTCGTCAAACTGATGAAGGAAAACATAAAGAACTTCCCGATCATCGATTAGTATTGCAATGCTAAACAAACCGATATAGACCAACGAGTATGAGCACACATGCCAGTCAAGGAATTAATGCAAAGCTGACTCAGAACAACTAGCGGACAACTAAAATAATATAGTTTGAACCGTGAGAATCTCATATAATCTGAGTTAACTACTCAATTTTCGGATTTACATGCTTAGTGCGTGTGCGCTGTGAAACTAAGATATTCAGTGCTTTGAGTAACGTCAATTACAACTTAGTCTCATCCGGTATAGTCTGAGACAAAATAAATGTCTTTTTACTTCCTTTTTAACTTATTGAATATACGAATGTACAGTCAACTTTCTGGGAGGGGGCTGAGGCCGTACAAGGCTGCTTGGGGAAATACAGAAATAAGGGAGACGGGCGGCAATGGAACGGTTCGAACCCGGAACGTCCGGGTCACAATTTGATGACCTAACCACTTGGCCATCACCGCCCCTATCAAACTGTGGAGCTGTTAGCTGATGGTGGCCTCGCGCTCATAATCAACATGTCCGAGGTGGACCATACCACTTCAGCGTAATGGTGATGACGCGGATAAGGTTGGTTATTACGGTCATCACTGTTACTATGCAGTGGTTGTAAAGGATGATCACAACGACGACGACGACGACGACCACGACTATGTCGATATTGACAACATTTCCTGTGGTTAGAGAACTAGAACATAACGCACGGAGTGACAGAGGAATATTACAATGAAAATTTGCTATCATTAACCTAATGTTAATGATGAATTAGAATCCCACAACGAGGAACTCTTCAAATAAACATTAGTAAATTATGGTCTTGATCTAATCCAGTCGATTCTCACACCTTGTATCAGTTATCATACAGTCACATTTCAGTCAATAAGCCGATGGTTTTGTTGGGTCATATTTCACTCTATCTACCAACGATCCTGAATTAATGAGTGTATTTCTAACTGCTTTATATGCAAATTGGAGCTCATTAGTTCGTCGGAAGTAACGATACGGAGTGAAATAAGGGTTCGTTAGAACCAAGCGAAGACAAATACTGTGAGATCTTAACATTTCTTGTAAGCTCTTCAGTCGCTACAACGTAAAACAATTTGGTATTTATACAGGCAAGTTTGAAAACTACGGTGG